CCCTTGCACATAGAAATCTAAGACAACTATCTACCCTCCTGGTTATCTTTAAAACCAGCTTTTCCCGTTTCAGCTCACTGTGAGTCCTAGAAAGTAATCTTGACCTTCAAAACAGGTAGGAGAGGGTAAAAGAGGGGATAAATGGTGATGGAAGGAGACTTGACTTGGGGTGGTGAGCACAGATGATGTATTATAGAATTGTACACCTGAAGCCTATATAATTTTTTTAACCAACTAGAGGTCTGGTGCATGAAATTATGCATGGGTGGCGGTCCCTCAGCCTGGCCAGGGATCAGGGCCGATTGGGGCCTTCTCGCCCAGTCCTGACTCAGGGAGGGACAGTGGGAGGTTGGCTGTGGGAGTGCACTGACCACCAGGGGGCAGCTCCTGCATTGAGTGTTTGCCCCCTGGTGGTCAGTGTGCATCATAGTGACTGGTGGACTGGTTGTTTGGTCACTTAGGCTGTTATATATATAGATATCTCCTTAATAAATTCAATTTTAAAAAAACCCACAAAAAGCTTAAGGAATTTAGTTACAATGTTTATAAGTTAAGAAAACATACTCAGGCAGTGAAAATAATTTTGCCTCAGTATTATAAACCAGATATATCCAAATAGAGTATAGAATTTCATTTTTCGTTCCTTCAGGGTTTATGGAGTCACAGGGAGAAAAACCAGTTTTCATCCTTTTACACCACATTTTCTTTTCTCCCGGCCGTTTTTCTCTCAGCGAGGTGAAAGGGAGGTTATTCAGCGGGCCTGCAGGAAGCTTTCAAGGTGTGGCCCTTGTCACTACTCCTATGTCTTAGGGAACCGGGCAGATAGGCGCATCCTGTGTAACCCAGCAAACAGGAAGCGAAGTGCGGCAGAGCCAGGGCAGGGCTGGGAGTGGGATCAGTCGCAGAGCTCGTGTCCCACCGAGGGCTCTCTATGGGCATTGATTCCAGAAGAGTGTTTTCTGCAGGGGTATCTGGCTCAGTCCCTGCTTATGGAAGGTGTGCTGATGACCTGCGTGGCCTTGCTAAGGGATGGGGACAGTCACTTGATTGGTGCCTGTTTTGCCACCTGTTGAACTACACTCTCCATCAGCTGCCTCGCTCAGGGCTCTTCCAGGCCGTGAGTCACGCAACCCCTTGGCGAGGGGTCTGTGCAGGCAGCAGCCGCAGCCCTCACACGTCCACCAGTTCAGAGCCAGCAGCTGGCTCCAGCCCAGCAGTGGCGGGTGTGGTAGGACGTGGGGCACGGGGTACTGATGAATACAGGCTGTCCTTCCAAATAGTTGGCTTTATATCAGGCCTTTCTTTTTTTTTTTTTTTTAAAGGAAAGTTAGTGAGTGTGTGGATTCCCATTTAGCAGGAGTATATTGAGTTTCTTAGATCCTATTGGCACCTGTGCACCGTGGAAACTGGTACTGTGTGAAGGAGGAGGTTCAAAGATACGTTAAGATGCTGTGTTCTCAGAGACAAGAAGGTACAAGAGGTACAGAAGTCCTTGGGAGTACTTCCTACAAAGAGGCTGTGGTCTCTCTCTCTGGGGGGACCAGGGACATGTGCTTAGAGGTGGTGGCTTTGATATGGATATTAAGGATCCCCAGAGCTCATTGTTAGAGATGGAGCAGAAAGAAGAGAGGGACATTTCAGCAAATACAGTGAATAAAGTGAAAGTATGGAACACACACACACACACACACACACACACACACTATGTAGTTGGTGGTCATTGGGGATCTCTGGGGGATATTGGAGCAAAAGACTGATATGAGCAAAGTTTGAGGGGAAGTTCTAATTTTGCCTAATTACAGTTAAAGTGAGGATTAGAAAGAAAGAAACTTGGAGATGTGTAGATTCATTTGCAGGGGTCTGGTGATGGGATCCCAGGGAGAGTTCTTAACAAAGGTGGTGACAAGGTCTGGAAAGGACAAAGGAGAGAGAAGCTAGGGAGGAAGTAAGGATGAGCCGCAGTGTCTTGTAAACGTGACTATCACAGAATAGGGCAAAGTGAAGGAGAAGGCAGGTCCGCTGGAAACGTACATGGAAGAACTGCCAAAAGTAGGAGCTAATGGAAGGTAGGAATCTGAGGTTGACGTGCCAGTGGAGCATTGGATGGGGCATGCATGGCAAGTGGTCCTCGGGAAAGGCGCTGGGGCTGGAAAGTAGGATTAAGGATGACTGGACTAGGGAACGATTCATGCCATAGCAGGAGTTGGAATGAGGGGCATCAGGACTTTATAAGGCTGGTTAGGAGGTGAGAAGTAATAATGTGAACGTCACAGAGGAAAATGCTACACAGCCTTGTAAACAATTTGACCTGGAAATTAAGGAAATAAAGGTAATGATGCCCCTGGCAGTAGTGGAGTTGCAACAAGACGGTCGTCATGGTGGGGGTTGGAGGGCTTTGGGGGCACGCTATGTTGGGGTAGAGTGATGGGTAGTGAATGGTGAGAATGATGAGTTTTGTTTCATATTTAAATAAGATGCCTGAAGGAGAGTTAAAATGCTATGTTTAACAAGCTGTCAAAGATTTGCAAGAGAGGGTTCTGGGACCAGAATAGATTTAGGGCAGTCAAGGTGAGTGAGGAACTGACCGATTAAGTAAAAGCAGAGACACAAGAACAGAAACACGGAGCTTGGAAGCTAGAGGTCAAAGAGAAACAAGGAAGGGTCTCCTGGATTTTGTTGAATTGGTTATAAAATAGGAAAACGAAGAAAATACAACACAAGTGCTGGAAAGAGGGTGTCAGAAAGAAGGTAGTAGTGATGGTGTCAAGTTAGATGGACAGGTTAAGGGAGATGAGCACTGTGAGAGTCATTGCAACTAGGTGTGGGTGGTGGAAGCTAATGTTTCCTTGGAGCAGGTGGAAGAATGGAGGGACAGGTGTAGGAAGTGGCCAGTGGGACTAGCCTCATCCTCCCACGTCATCATCTCAGTAGGTGAGGCTGCACCATGGGTGCTTCATGTTCAGTTAACCGTGATTCCTTTTCGTCTGTGGTGTAAGAGTTTTTCTTTAACCTTTCTCTAGTAAATCTTTAAGCTTGTTTTTCCCATGGTCTTTACTACTTCCTTCTATCCATCTTCAGAATGTCCTAGATGTCATCGTTCTAGAAGCCCACAGGCTTCTGTCTTTTCAAATTTGATTCTGAGTCTATGATTCGGATCTGAATTAAAATCCCAGAAGTTTCTCTAGGAGTCCTCAACTGGGAAGTCAGATTCCGGGAGCTATGGTTTCAGGTGCCTTTTCCTATCTCCATAGCAATACTTCCGTGGCCTTATCTATTGTTTCCATGTCATTGAAGGCTGAAATCCAGTTCTGTTACATACGCAGTTTGGAGGGTGCAAGAAGTGAGATTAGGGGTCTCAGAGACCGATTGATCTTCAGGAAATGCTGAAAGGTCAAAATCTTTGTCTTACGAGAGAAGTTTTGTTTCCACAGTTTTTTATTCATTTGGTTTGCCCCTTAATTTACAGCTAAATCCCTAAACAATGGACAGATGTTCGCAAAGGCCTCAGACTAATGTGACATTAACTTCATGGTAGAGCCCGATCCCCATTTCTAATCTTATTCTAAAGGAGACCAACTCAGGATGGCAAGCACACCCCACCATCTTTCCACTCCCCAGTGCTAGGTCCTTCTTTCCCCCACTTGTTCATAGTTGTCGGCAGACATCATTTTGAACACACTGTCATAGAGGCTGGGCCTCCACTGGGAGGGGGTCATTGGAGCAACACTGCGGACGGAGTTGGAGCTCTGGGCAGGGCTGGAGGGCCTTAGAAAGGACTATAGTGTTCAGAATTCACGGGAGGGTGGATATGGCAGCATTGTGTCCAAGGGCAAAGATACAAGAAGGAAATGGAGCTCTTCTAGTGACATGAGAGGCCAACGAAGCCAGAACCCGAACCCATTTTTTGTATCTTTTGCCCTTTGTGTTGATTCTAATGTAATTTTGTTAATTATATCACCACCCCAAGGAGTGAGTAGGCTCTATGCCCATTTTACAGATAAACTAGTTTGAGGTTCAGCAAATGAAGGAAGTTGTAGGTCCAACTGCAAGCAAGTTGACGAGCTAGGATTGGAACTGGTCCTGCTTGGCTCCGAAGCCCTTTCTCCACATGGCTTTGCCCTCAGAGGAAGGGACTAAAACTTACTTCTGTGTAGACAGGTTTTCTTGGTGCATCTGAAAACCTTCGACCATGTGTGTCTTTCTTTGATTTCTCTTCCCCATTTGTTCTTGGTCTGTGACTTGTTCTTTTGGTTGACACTCCAGGAGACAGACAGGGTCTGTTTGCATCCAAAACAGAACGTGTTTCCACATCTCTGGGTGAGCTGTGTGCCACCCCGCATTCCTTCCATCTGGAGGCGGGCAGAGCGCAGCTGTGGCTGTGAGGCAGGGGGACCAGCTGTGCCAGCTGCCAGTTGACACCAGGGCACATGCTGTCTTGGCCCCATTGCTCGCGTGTGCCCAGCTCAAGTGGCTGCGTGATTGGCGTTTGTCAGTGCCACGGATGTGGAAAGAATTCTATGCGCTCGGGAGGAAAAATTTCACAATACCTCCTGTTTCATGTGCCACATGTTCCATAAAAATATCACGAGTCTACGCTTGTTTGCGCACAAGCGGGCTGCTGGTAGCCCGACCCATGGCCTCTGAGGAGCTCTGGTTATCATTGACCTTGCAGGCCTTCGTGGCTTCTGAGAGCTTTGAACCAAGCTGTGTTTTCATCCTGATTTTCACATGGCCGAGTTGCAGATGATGTATATTTTGTTCAACTTACACTATTAAATAGAGGAATGTGCCCCGGGGTCATCAGTCATTAGCATATGTGGCGGTGACGGCGGCTAGGTGATTACCCTGAGAAAAGCAAGGGCTTCTTCAGAACAGCCAAGAGCAGCAAGTGGAAAGTCTCCTTGCTTAGAGATCTCCACTCACCTTCTGCTTCTCCTTTTTTAAACATTTCAAATGATGAAATGAAACTAACAGTATTTCCTTTTTTTGCTATTTTGCAGAAAAAACCGCTGTCTGCGATAATAAAGGAAGTCTGTGACGGGTGAGTGTTGTTACTCAGGATTCACCTGAGGGGCTCCGGGCCACAACTTGAGGGGCAAATAGAATATTCCCGTGTGATGGTCAGATGTCACTCATAAGTCACCCCTCGACCTGCCCAAAGACACCCCAAATGCCTACGTGAGATGTGCATGCCTCTTTCCACCCAGAGGTTACCTTGTTCCTTAACAGGAAGGTGTGAACTGGCCGTGTGGGTACCTTGGGCGGGGGGCGGGGGAGGCTCTGTTTATTGTGAGAAGCTGCGCTCACCCATCGGTCTCAGCAGGGAGCGGCCTAACGTTCCGGAGTTAGATGCTCACCTCATTTGGTATCAGGGAGGGCCACGCAGGCCCCGTAAAGAGGAAAGTATGACACAGGTCAGCGGCCACTCGCAGCCCGTGGACGGCCCAGCAGCGCGCTTTCCCACTTCTCTTTGGCCGCACACAGTCAGGGGAAAGCACGTACTAGCTGCTTGTGGGTGTTTCTCTCTTACAACAGAACTGTGGGTAGAAGGTACCTGGGATTTACCTAAGATCCAGGATACTTCGCTAGAATGTTCCAGTTTGCAGCAAGCCAGAGTGATTGGGAATTGGAGAGTGCAGAGGCAATCAAAATGCAGCGGCTATCAAAAGCTTAAATTGCATTCATTTCCTTTGTTTTCCCGTCTCTGCTCCACGCCTTCAACATAGGGAAGAGTGTAACTTTATATTGAAACATCACCCCTGCCCGAAGCCAAGCAGGTGAAATGCTGCAGTGAGCAGGAGGCTTGGAATGAAACCTGGGTGGGCCTCAGGGGGAAAGAACGGGTCTTAGGGTGACAGGTGGACTGATATCGTTTAGAATTAGCAACTACGTTGTGGGGGGTGTAATAGGGTGTCCAATTCCTCCACCTCTGCCAAACTAACAATTAAAGTGACCGTTCACTGGTTTTCTGACCAGTTTATGCTTATATTTCAGGTGGTCCGTGCCCAACCATGAACTCTTCGCTCTGCAGCATGCCGACAGCTCAAACTTCTACATCACGGAAAAGGTAGGTCTGCCTGGGATTGAATCTGGGACAATTAGCCTTTAAGGAAGTTGAAACATGAGTGATGTTTCCTCTGCTCAGGACCATACTGGTCTACAGTTCACATTGACCCTCCACAAAGTGGAGTCTGCACAGCAAGGAACTGCCCCATCAGTACTACCAGGCGGCATTTAGCCCATCCAAGAGTGAAGACCACTAGGTCTCTATGTCCCGTGTTAGCAACTGCACTTACTTCTAACAGCGAGTTCACTCATTTTCTCTCTCATTGCGTGGTTGAAGCATTAATGGGACCCTTAATGACAGCCTAGCTCCCTTTCACAACGTTTCCCCCAGCAATGCCTAAACCCTCTTCAAGGTCTTGAAACAATGGCAAGAACTTTTTTAAGCTGGCGTTGTGCAGGCTCAGGTGTTCGGTGGCTTTGGGGAGCCCTGCTTTCTTCTCGGTGATGTTTATGCTGTGGGGAGCTTGGAGGAGAGCGGGGGGTTGTGAAGACGACGGGGGCTCTGGCAGCTGGGAAATCAGTGGGAGAAGGGAAAACTGACCTTCATTCAGAACCTACTGGATGCCCGGAAGTGGGCCAGGATTGTTACATCTGTTTGTTGATTTCTTCCTCGAGACTCACCCATGATGCATGATGCACACACATTGGCTTTTGTTGACAGACAAGGAACTGAATCAAAAAAGTCCAGTGGCTTGGTCAGCATCTCAGGGGTAGTGACCGAGAGAATCAAGAAGCAAGTCCACGTCTTTGCGCTCCCGTCACTTTTCCTGTGGGGGTTTCTAGAGAAGCTGAGCATCCAGCTGGGTTTTATGGAGCATTCACTGAGATGCAGGGAGCCAACATGGTCCTCGTGGAACATGTAACCTGGTGCCGTCGGTGGGGAGGAGGGGGCAGCTCTGTGAAAAGTTTTCACCACAGCGAGGTGGGCAGCGCGGGGACAGAAGTAAATGGAGAATGCTCTGGGAGGAGGGAGATTGGGGCGACCTCTGGCTTTGGGCTTTGTTCCTCCGTCAGTGGCCCCTAGAGTAACCCCAGGTTTACCCACAAGTCAAGTGATGGTGGAAGGTGGATGCAGTAGTGGGCCTTATGCCCACTGTGACTGCTCACTTTACATGAGGAGCGTGTGTGTGTGTGTGTTGGGGGGCGGGGGTGTGAGGGAGGACAGCCACAGCCTGGAAATGCTTCCAGAATTTGCCTTGTTCTGTCCAGGTGCACACGGGAACTTTCATAACGCCTGTGCTTTCCTCGTCACCGGCTGCTGGTGCTGAGAGTTAACGCTGGGACTGGACCTCCTGCCATGTTAATGTGACTTGTTCCTTTGACTCACTCCACAGACACTTAGCTCCCTGTCCTCATGCTTCATTTTCTTAGTATTTTTCATTTATTTTATCCTGCCTTCAGATAATCTACATGCTGCTCTTTGTAAGATAAAGAGGAGATAAATAAGGTTCAGCGCTAGCAGGGAAATGTATTGCTGACGATCGCCTTAAGCAGAAGACTCATTTCAACTTGGTTCACCTTTTAAAGGCAGCTAACATATTGTGACTTTGGGGTGTCATTGGAAAAGATTGGGTGGTTCTCTGCTCACTGAGGTATAATGCGAAAAAGTGTAAAAACTTTTAAGTGATAAGATTATAGGACAGTGGAAGTTATAGTAGGGTTTTACAAACATCACCAGCTAGTGGATAATGCAATCAATTCAGTTCATTGTAATCGTGTTAAAAAATGGAATAGAATAGATAGACTAGGTCGGAGTGTATCTCCTGCATAGCTTGTGAAATACTTGTGTCTCACGCACACAGATAGAACCCTTGGATTTGGGCTGGACTCTGACCCGGGGTTGTGGTCCACAGTCGGTGAGCCACCCTGAGCCCTGCCTTTGATTAGCCTCTCTCTGCCTGTGTCCCCTGGTGGCTGTCCTGTCTTCTGTCACCATTGTCAGGGGACTGGAGTTCATTGGCGATTCCTAACGACAGGATTCTCAGACTAGAGAACGTAGCATCCCGGGGAGAACCTTTTAAAAGTACAGAATTTTAGACCCTGACCTGGGCGACTCATGGAGCAGGCCTGGGATGTGGCCTGGGTTTGCATGCAGACAGCCCTCCTGGGGTCCTGGTGCAGGCACCGGGGACCACCTGGAAGCCCTGGGCCCTGGGCCCCTCTTCCGAAGAGGTGGGCTCTGTGCACCGTGAACGGAAGTCATGCCCTAAGTTCGACCTAGGAGCGTGTTTGTGTGCAGCTGATTCTTGGAAAAACTTAAAAATTCATGCAGCATTTATGCTTTTGTTCTAATTAAAATTAACATAGACTCAGCCAGTTTAAACTCCTCAGAATAGTAGGAAAATTATAATATTATTGGGCATCCTAGTCATTTTCTGGGAAATTGTTCTGCTGGAGGAAGTTCTTGTTGAGTTTAAAAGGGGCTGCCACCTCCCCGGCCATCGTGGCTCAGTTGTTAAGCTTCGGCCCATGAACCAGGAGGTCGTGGTTCAATTCCCAGTCAGGGCACATGCCCGGCTTTTGCCCAGGAGCGGGCGTGCAACAGGTAGCCAGTTGATGTTTTTATCTCTCTATCCCTCTCCTTCCCTCTCTCTAAAATCAATAAACATAAATAAAATAAAATAAAAGGGACTGCCACCTAAGCCTGTCATTCCATCTGTCCCTCTCCAGTGGGCAGTGGCAGCAGAGATTATTCTTTTTAAAAATATATATTTTTATTGATTTTAGAGAAGAAGGGAGCGGGAGAGAGAGATAGAAACATCAGTGAGAGAGAAACATTAATCGCTGCCTCCCGCAGGCCCCCTGCATGAGCCCTGACTGGGAACCTAACCCGTTACCTCGTGGTTCATGGGTCAGTGCTCAGATGCTCCACCATGAGCCACACCAGCTCGGCAGGGGCTGTTCTTTTAGGAAGAGTTTGAGGCATGAGGAGACTCATCTTCCCAATACTTTGTTTGTAATTAAGATGTCACGCCTTTTCCCCCTGCAGCTGTTCCACAGCACTCTGCACTGCAGGGCAGGGAAGGGCCTCAAGCCAATGTCTGCAGGGGCAGACCTGGGCTGCCTGCCATCTGCCGTTAGGTCCAGGTAGCTCCTTGCAAGTTTTCCTAGAACTAGAGCCCATTTTCCATCTTTTCAGGCAATGTATTTAGCACGATCTTGGGCACTTACAGCCCAGTGAGTTGTTAGGTAATACTGGCCTCACCATGGTAACTGGTGACTGATGCTTGAAGCCTGTGTGTGTTCTTAGTTACTGATCTCCCCTTGTGTACGAGGTGGTCTCCTCCTCTGCCAGAGATCAGCTGTGACCTGTCATTTTAGAGAACATTTCCCCAGGCCTGGCAGCCAGCACAGGTTGTGGCCGGTGGACTGGGGCTGGGGCTCCCCAGGAAGGCAGCTCCCACCTGGCCCCAGCCCCCTCTCTGTAACCTCCTTATTTGCTTATTGGCCCATTAGCTTCGCTCTTTCCGTGCAGTGGGGGAGTGTCACATTGTCAAGCAGCGTTAAGCAGAAGTGTAGCATGCAAATGCCTTGGAGAAAGCTAAGCGTTAGCTGTTCACAAGTTCACATTCTGCCCCAGAGACTTTTGTATCTCGGTTATGTCTGGGGCCGGGGGAGAGAATAAAAAATGAAAAGTAAATTGTGTATTTTTAGCTTTATTGAGGTATAATTGACAAATAAAGTTGTAAGATCATGGTAAAGTGTCCATCATGGTAATTAGATATGCCGATACATTTTGAAAGGATTCCTCCCATCTACCTAATTAGCACATCCATCACCTCATTTATTTATTTACTTATTTGGTGAGCACAGGTAAGTTCTCCTGTCTCAGCAAATTTCAGTTCTATGCTACAGTGTTATCGACCATAATCACCGTATTTTACGTTACATCCTCCATATCCTCCGTCTTCATTCATCTTACAGCTGAAGTTTGTGCCCTTCTCCCAGCCTCTCTCCATTTCTCTCAGCCCCTCAGCCCATGGCAACCACTGATCTGCTCTGTTTCTGTTTGGCTTTGTTTTTAAGATTTTAGATATAAGCGATGCCCTGCAGTGTTTGTCTTTCCATGTGGGACTTACCTCTTGGTGTAATGCCCGCAGGGGCCATCCATGATGTTGAAAATGGCAGGATTTCCTTCTCCCTCGGGGCTGAGTAATATTCCAGTGAGCACACACATACCACGTCTTTCCTCATCACCTGTCCACGGCCACTTACGTTGCTTCCATGTCTGGGCTATTGTCGATGCTGCGATGAGCACGGTGGTGCTTATCTCTCTGGTAACCTCTTTTCATTTTCTTTGGAAATATACCCAGAAAGTGGGGTTTCTGGTTCATTATGCTAGTTGAGTTTTTGATTGTTTTGAGGAACTTCCATCATACTGTTTCCCATAGTGGCTGCACCCATTTACATCTCCATCAAGAGGGCTCTCTTTCTTTTCAGCATCCTCACCAACTCTCTTTCTTTCTCTCTCCAACCCCCCCCTTTTAGATGATGGTCATTCTAACATGTGTGAGATAAACTGTCATTGTGGCTTTCATACATTGTGGCATTTTCCTGATTGTTAATGATCTTGAGCATATTTTCATATACTCATCAATCATTTATATACCTTCTTTCAAAAAATGTCTATTTAGCTCTTCTGTCCATTTTAAAATTGGATTGTTTGTTGTTTTGCTATTGACTCTTGTGAGTTCTTTATATAATTTGGATATTAACCCCTTTGTCAGATATGTGATTTGTATACACTTTTCTCCCATTTCATAGCTTGCCTTTTCATTCGGTCCATGGTTTCCTTTGCTGTGCAGTCCTACTTGTTTACTTGTGTGGATTGCGTGTTAACTTCAAATATTCCAGTGGAATTTGTCTTCTGCGATGGGGAGGAATATGCATTGGCGTTCTCTGTCCTCATTCCGGTCTGATGATGCGGGTATTATCTCCATTTTACAGTGAGGAATGTGAGACCGAGAGTGACTAGGCAACAACTTGTTTAGGTCACTCGGA